GGGTGGGGAGAGTATCGGTCGAAGCCGTTCGCTCGGTGCGCGGTGCTGCGGACGACGCTGCGACACCAGAGGGTGTTTCACTTCCAGAAAACGTGTGTAGCGTAACACTCCGGGCGCACGGCTCATCCAGAAAAGAAGGCCATCGCACTGCCATCGCAGACATTTTAGAGTCAGACTTGTGCAGTTGAAGACACACGGCATCAGGTGCACATACGGGTTGCCGCGGTACGACACCCTCTCGGCCCGCCGCCTGGAACTCCTCATATTAGAAAGCGATCGGGATGAATAAATTATCATTGATAGGCAGCGCGCTGGGTGCGCCTGCCGCCGGGGCGGGGTGGGGTGAGGCGGGGCGGGGAGTGATTCATGGTGCCTCTGCTTGCCCTCCTCCGGGAGGCTGCTGGGCTGAGGCTACTTGATTCATCGCTCCTTCTCCCTTCTGCTCCCCTCACACCTGTCCAACACCTCTTTGCTCTATTTCAGCCCGGCACTACCTCCACCCCCTCCCCCTCTTCGCGACACACCCCAACACCACCCCCTGCGTACGCCTCGGCCCCGGCCCGGCACGAGCGCGTGGTGGCGGGGCGCGGTGGGGTGGGGTGGGGCATTGCGTGGCGCGGCGGAGAGTGGTGGGTGGTGGGGCGCAGCATGGGTTGACAAACACCGCCGACACCACCACAACCACCATCAGCACTACCAACAACAGGACCTCACACACAACGCAGTCCCTAAGCACACGCAGCTCGACAAATGCTTTGTCGTCGTTCAAAGACTCGACACGTCGAAAATAATGTAAAAAGACGCTCGCTCGCCGCCCCACATTCTATATTGATGTATTGATTCCGAACCCTAATTACAAGGCCAAGGAGTGCGTGCGCCAGGACGCATGCATGTTTCATGGCCACGGCCGGCCCCCACACGGCCGCGCACCGTCACTTTTCATGAAGAACCTTCTGGCGAAGTTCTTAGAGGGGGGCGTGAATGGCGGTGAATTGTGATGTACAGTAAGCTCCTGGCGAACTCCCTCGCCGAACGGGTGCTTTTTTCCCCCCATGCAGGCGGCATCTGCATAAGCCCACCTTCATCTCCGTTCTCTTCTTTTGC